TCGCTCTGCTATAAGCAGGCTATGTAAATTTTCACGCCAAGTAGTCAGTAATAAACCATTGCTTGGTGCATTAGAACTATTGTAGTAGAAACTGCACGAGCGTAGCGTCACATGCTGCGTTGACAAAAAAAGTGTTAGCCATGCGTAGCCTTCTTATCTTTTTTCACCCACCTGTTAATGTTCTTTCGACTTGGGTGGCTGGGCGTGCCTGCTTGTAATATCCAGAAATGTGTGTGCTACTGAGACATGTCTCAACGAGGTAGAATGGTACCAGAACCTTCCCGCTCATCTAATAAGATTCGCCAAGGGCTAAAAATGCATAATTTGAACAGAATTACATAATCTCAGTTTGTATGTATGCTCTTTTCAAACTTTTCATGCTGCTTTGTAAGTCGATTTTCCGGGAGGCTGGGATAGTGGGTAGTGCATGTGTATCGAGCCCGATATCGGTAAAGGTACCCCTGGTCTACAATTCTGCTGGCTTCATTCTTACTGCTCAGGACAGGGAAATCTAGTATCGCATCCTTTTGCTTTCCCCCCTTCAAACGGCGCTTCTATTTCTTATTGAAGTTGGGCATATTGAGGAGCTGTTTTCGTCCTACGTATCGCTGTCAAAGCCCCCGTAAAAACAACTTTTGGGGCTAACTTGTTCAATAGTCAGGCTAATCGGGCTCATTAAGCTCCATTTCATATTTATCTTTCCCTTATGCTTCTCGTCGCCGTTGTGAGGAAGTGACGCAACCGCCATCTCCGATGTTGAAGGACAAGTTCAGAGTACCACACAGCTTGATCCCCTTGCTGCTTCTGCTGGAGAATGAGGGACCCATCACTTCGGATCTACATGAATTCTGCGAAACGATACCATTGAGAAGAGCCATAATAACAAAGGACCCCTGACTCCGGAGAACCGTTGAGCTCGCAGTTGCCTTAGCAACGGTGTACGCTGTCTCGTGGGCATACAAAAAGATGGGTTGTCCCTTTACACGGTGGCCACTTAAGTATCTTGTAAAGAGAAGGGTGCCGCAGTCAAGAGGCAGACGCTTACAAAAGGACGAGAACACCAATTAACTCCTGCAGTGATCCATACAGGAATCTGAGGGCCGAAGACTGCTTGTGCAATGCTCAGGAATATTGAATGAAACCAGCTCCTACACGCACTAGGGATCTCTACTTACGAACACGTGACAGCTGCATGCTTTCTGTCCATCGAATTGTTTCATTGTGCAGAAGCAAACACGCGAGATGGTTGTGGTCCCTGGCTGCATGACGGAGCTTGCCTATACACTTTGCAGGGACCTGCTACCTCATATCTGCCTGGCTTTATCGTTTTATACCATCATTTCGCTGCCCCCTGCCCCCGCAATGTTTGTTGACATGTTAGGACCGTAGGGATAGCCAGTCACCCAGAGGCCGTCTCTTCCGAGGGTTCTCGCAACTAAGGGATCAAGCAAAACCGACGGGCAACATCTCTGCGACGATTAAAGCTTCTATATCCAGTCAGATCGCAGCAATAGTAGGATAGGCCACTGACCATGAGACACTGGTTACTTCTTGAAGCACCCTACCGTGTGTACCAGTATTTTAGAGGCCATTCAGAAAGGGCCTCTTAGAACCGCCCACCTGGGATTTCCCCCACCCTCCGCCTCCCAATAGTGTGCGAATTCACGATGGCGTTAGCGCGTGTGGCAGCCCTATCTGAGGCAAACATTTTATCCGTATATCGGTGCTATAAAAGTTTGCCAACGTAACTGTGTACTGCAGGTGAATTCCTTCAAAACCATATAAAAATAGCGCACAGTGTAGCAGATATGCACAGGAGACTGCAGCCGCAGATAGTAAACTTCCACCTATCAATCGAGCGCTATCTGTTCAAAATGTTGCCAAGAAAACAGATGTTGTTTGAACATCTTCTAGCCGCAAACGTATTCCACTTTAGTTTCCTCTTGGTCACTTTCATATTTCCAATGGTTTATTTCCTCTTCATTGCTGCGTGGTCGGACATTTCTTAAGTAGATGAGGAGGCTTCTGCAGCACACAACAGAAGCAATAGCAGTGGCTGCAGGGAGCACCATGAGTATTACTGCTCGCGACACCGGTGATAATCAAACATCAAATGCGTGTAAATTGACAAAAACACGATTGCACAGCCCTGCAGTCCACCGCAAGCCGCACCAATATTCGCAATGCTATACCCATAGTTGTAAAGATTGAAAGCAGCGCGTTAAAATAATCAGTACTCTGCACGCATAGGTTGTCGGAGAACTGTGGACTCAATGCGCGACCAATGGAACTAAGTGGGTAGGACAAAACGCGTGACGCAACGAAGTGAAAGACAGGCACAGCGTAAGCGACATCTAAAATCAATACAAAACGTACATGAAGCAAAGGATGGGTGCTCTAAATCCTGTACCGCGAGTTTCTAAAGCTGCAATCCCTTGGAACTATATCGGAAATACAGCTTACGGACCATTGAATCTGGCCTGTTGTCGTTTTTTATATTTTTCTGTTTGCTCCTGGTCTTTGTTCTCTTCTGTGTACTGTTAGTACTCGCATTAAAAATCTTCCGTATGAAGATGCTGCGCCCCCCTTTTGTCTTGCCCCTAATCTTCAGCTGTTGCTGCTGCTTCGCCTGAATGTCTGGAAGTGCGACAGAACAACACGCTTCAACGCTATGTTCACCCTCCCGAACGTTGTCGTGATCTTCTTCCAATCGCTGCTGAGACAGACGTCTGTGTCGTATCCGGCTCATTCGATGAGGCAGCGCGTAGCATTCATCCTTTGGTTGCTGTGCTTGCTGTTGCGCACTCCCTTCATGTGGTCGTATGCTTTCATGTGCTTCCTTCTCCTGCTTGTTCACTGTTGGATCCGAGGAGAGCTGGCTTGCCAGCTCGAACTTTTTCGCTTGCATCTTGGCAGACGAAGGTAAGAGGCTTTGGTCACTTGCTGTACCACTGGAAGCGTAGCGACTGCTTACACTGCTAGGCTGTGTATCCTGAGTGGTAGGGCACTCCTCGGGTCGTCTTGTGGATATTGAAGCCTTGCTCTTCTTTTTTCGCTTCTTCCGCTCAGGGCCACCTTCGGCTGCTATTTGTAGCTGGTCCTTGTTCAACTGCTGCTTCCTGGTATTTACGCACTTCGAGATGCAAGCAACACGGCTGAAGCCACTGTCCTCATCAGCACTCGGCTCATGCTGCTGCTGCTCCTCAACGTCCTTCCGCAAAAGCTGCAAATGACGTTCGCGGATCTTGCTCTGGGTGACCAGTCGCTTATTCTGCTGCTGCAGACTTCGAGCAGCAGCAGAAGTTGATGCGGCAGCGGCAGCTACTCCTGCACCCTGTCTGTGTTTCCTTTTTCCTGGTTGCCGTTGAAGCAGCAGCAGCTGATTATGATGCTGCTCTGGAAGCTGCTCTTTTGTGCCTAAGAAGGAAAGATCCAGCGTACCATCTGCAAAGTTAAATTCAATATCTGTACCCATCTTCAACACTAAACCTTGAACCCCGAAGTCTAAACTGTATGCCACAAGGGAAAAGCCCCATACCCAAATTCATGGAAACAGGAAATGTATTATTTCTTAACCCCATAAGACAAAAAATGCAACCAAAGGTGTCCTGCGACCTTCGGATGCATAATAGAGGCAAAATATCTCCTGTGTGATGAAGACAAAAAGAAATTATTTTTACATTTAGTTGAACAACAATGTTTCGCAATGATTTATTAGAGGTTCAGCTACCACGAAATATTTTCACAAAAGCAGAACTGACACCCCTGCAGTGGTGCTACGCCAAAAGGCTCGCCGTGATGGGTACGTACAGCATGAAATGCATTCGTCGCGGGTGGCGTCATTTGTACAACGCAACCACCCCACAACATTCTTTTGCCATTCCACAAGGAGTAAATCTGATCTTTATGTCCAATACTCCCCGTCCACTTGAAAATGCCAGTTAAGCACATCAAGAGCACTGAGGGTAGGGCCCTGCACCCCAAGGTCAAACGCTTTCTTTTCTGTCGCTTTTTTCTGGTTCTGCTAAAAACGGTTTCGTGCTTAGAAGCCCACATTGATGCTACTTCTCATACCATATACGCTGTGTCATCTTGTTAGCTGGGGATTCCCGCACGTATCCGGGAGTGTGAAGGTTGAGGCGATTTTCAATCGTGTTAGCCTGGCATTACTATTTCGTTCCCCCTTTCACCATCAAGCCAGCATTCACACACGTTTTGCTCAGGCACGGCTGAGACCTTGGGTGTTGGTGAAGGCGGTATCCTCTACTTGGGGAGGTCGCCCTGCGGTTCCCGTTCGCTTCTGTCTTTCTTGTATTGCTTGTGTTTTTGAGAACCGTGCACTGAAGCAAAGCCTATGTCAGCGGTGTATGATGCGTTATGGGGCCTGCTTTTTGTGGTATGACCTCAGAATTCGATGAGGCCATCAAGACTGGCCTTGTGGTGGTCGACTTCTTCGCCACGTGGTGTGGTCAGTCTGTTTCTCTTTCCTCATGGCCTCTAAGGCTGTGGTTCCTGTCTAGATGTGCCTGGTGGTGCCAGTATCCAACAGTGGTGTGTATGATAGCGTTTTGTGTTTTGCAGGCCCGTGCAAAGTGATCAAGCCCTTCCTAGAGGAAAAGAGCAATCAGATGCCTCATATCGCCTTTTACGCAGTATGGGCTGTGTTATTCAGATAATTTTTTTCGCTGCTGCTCCGGAGTATAAGCGAGACTGCAGGTCGCCCATGTAGCCAAAGCGAATCGTGTCAACCCCGTCGAAACTGATAATACAGGCGTGTGGTGTCTTCGCTGCAGGTAGACGTTGATGAGAACCCCGGGCTGTGCGAGAGAGAGGAAGTGAGCGCAATGCCAACATTCAAGCTGTATAAGGATGGAAAAGTGGTGGAAACGATTGTGGGTGTTCGTAAGCCGAAGCTTGAGGAGGCCATCAACAACCTAAAGTGATACCATGCTGCAGGCATTATACTCTAGCAAAACAGTCTCTGCAGCTTGCTGTTTCACCCTTACTGCCCTGATAATGGTGCTCTGGTAGGGCCTGGTGAGGTCACAAGAGTACTGGAAAGCGGTGTGACCGCTTGGGGAGGTCCCTTAGCCACCATAAACGGCCCCCTGCCAGCAGGCTTTGGCTCTGGCTAATGGAGCACTACCAGTTCCAGTGCCCATGGGGAGGCATGCAGCATCAATAGGCCAGAAAGTGGCACCTCTACAGACATGTCTATTCGATACAAATGGACTACCATTTGGATTTAGGGGGTGCTAGGGGATGTAGGCTTGAGCAATGGACGGGCCGGAAGCACCCCTGAAGTGCATGTCTTCTTTGTAGAGCCAACATGCCCATTTGGCATTAACCCCCTATAAGAACTAGGCAACTGCTGCACGGCGATGGTGACACATGCATGCAAAGCAACGCCGAGTTTAGACAAGACCGACCCTTGGCAGAGTACGAAAAAAGATATGTCGCGGGAGAGATGCGCTGCTCCGACGAAGGTTCGCAGACACCTCAGCTATAAACTGGGACTACAAGAGTGCGCCTCTATTGTTGCTGACAGCCGTGCTGCTGCAACTGGATTACACATGCAAAGGGCCGATGGTTCGAGAGGTGTGCTGCTCTTCTCTTCAGACCTGCAATGCGGTCTGCAAGGCGTGCTGCCGGCACTTCGCCTCTAGAGCTTCCTTCTCTCCGCAAAAGCGTTTTGGGAGGGCCCAGGCTCACTGGCCAGGGACCTTTTTCTCGTAGACTGCAAAATTGCGCTTGACACACATTGCGTGAAAGGTGCAATGAGGAAGTGCTGCGGCTGTACGTTTCACCTGACTTGTTCTCGCGCTAAGCCAGAAGGGAGGGGGGCTATGGCGGATGGGGCATGATGAGCAATAAAAAGCCGGTGGGATGTCGAGGGAGTTGAGCACTGACAAAAGCACGGAAGAAAACGTGAGTAAAAGAGGGCAGGTAGTGGGGGAGGGGCAAGCAAAATTAGTGAGTGGTTAGGGCAAGCAGGAAAAGTACGAAGGCAAAGGGCCCAAGCGAAAAAGGCGGAAGCAGAGACAAAAGCTTACAGTTGTACGCAAGGAGCTTATCTATCAAATCTGCCTGCGCCAAAATCATTCGCCGACAGCAGTAGCGCTTCAATCCCAACATGTCCAGAGCCACACTGTAAAGCACGCACATTCACACACGCCGTGAGGTGAAACCATAATGCGTATGCATGAACCACTATTTAGGCCTAATATCGTCGCAGAGGAAATCTAGCATTAGCCTACAAGGAATTGCTAGCTATGATTTAAGGTTTGTCAGAGTACCCTTCATCAACGTCGTTTTGAAGCTTCTCAACATATCGCTCCCACAAGTGCCCGATGACTCGCCCACATGTGAAGCACCGCACGGGAATGATCATCCTGACTCCTCAGTTGTATAGGGACTTCAGACTATGCGATCTGTTACTATGCGTCCAATAATGGATATAGTGGGAAGATAAAGTGTGGTAATCTGCCGCTCCTTGGCGTCGGGGCCTACACGCTGTGGAGGTAAAACAGTGCTAACACTCTACTCCGGACAGTAGGCACAGGCTCATCCCACCAAGCATCCCGGCAGCCAAATGGACGACGTGGATACTTGAATAACGCGGTGCCCCTTGGTCGATGATACAGCGGCGCGCAGTGGATGAATCACAGCAGGCCTAGACGCTTGTGGCAGTCGAGTGAAAGGTGGGCCCAAACAAAGATCTAAGGGGAGAATGGACAGAAAAAATGGAAATTAAGGTGACTCTCGAGCTTTTGGATCAAGGAAAGCGAGGAAAACAAGGGCGACAATTCCAAGGAAAATAGAAAGCGATGGTCTTCTTTCGGGTCCTAGAATGCATGCGCCGTTTTACTTCAGTGCACTTCTATTGTTTGCCGTTAATAACAATTTAAAGGATAGGGAACAAAAAGCGGTGAAGCATTCTTCTTTAAAGGCAACAGATGATCAGTTCTACTATGCAGCTGCGCCTTGTGACTTTGCGGTCACGTAAGGGGCTGGGATGTGGGGGTTACAAACATAAGAGAAAGCCTCCACTATACGGTGCTCCTTTTGTATACTAGAAAAGAAAGCCAATATTTTTAGACTATATTGTCTAATTAACTTAAGATGCAGGGCGTTGGTACACTTCCTTCGCCTCTTTTATTTGTGGGCAGCCCCAAAGTGGGGCTGCATTGGAGTTACACCTGAATCCTGTGGGTGGCGGCTGAGCTGCGAGGATAACCCCACAAACAATGCTGGGTTGTTTTCCGCGCGGTTTTTCTTCGTTTGCTGGCATTTGTTCATTTAAACGACAGAACGAATAGTAGGACCGTAAAACCTAAAGCCAGCAAAATGGAGATGGACCTGTTGCACCCTGATCCTTTGGAGGAGGCGAAGAAGCACAAGCTCAAGCGCCTCATTCCAAACCCCAAATCCTTCTTCATGGATGTCAAGTGCCCCGGATGTTACAGCATTGCTACCGTCTTTTCTCACGCTCAAACTGTCGTCCTTTGCGGGAGGTGCGTTTGGGGGAAAGGTTTAGGGCTTTGAAACGGAGGTTGGGGTTCCGTTTAGAATACGAATATTTAGGGGAATGAGCTAGGCACGCTCTTCCCGCTCAACATTTATGTATGTATTTCGATGTTGCTGGCCCCTTGGCTCCTTTTTATCTTCTTGGCGCTCGGTCGCCTGTGTATGCCCTTCCTTCCCGATGGTTGTAGCACGAAGGCCACCCATGGTTAGATTTCATTTCCATAAGGAACTTAGAAAGAGCTGTATTTGTGTTCGCACTACATGTACGTGCATGTCTCGGAGGCTTTCTGCCTGTACGTATTGGTGATTGTCTCTCCTAGCCTGAACAAAATAGAAAATGTGGGGGCTTCTTTACTTCTTCCCATGGAGCGAGCCGTCTGTACTATATTTTGTGCCAGGCAATTTTGACCTGTGCTTAGTGGGGTGGCTTTGTAGGCCAGTGCTGATTAAAAGGATTGCATGCATCATGGTGGTTATGATATGTGCGGGTGCTGCCATATCTTTTCGCCTCGAGATTTTCTTTCGTTTCCTCATTATTGTCGTGATTTCGAATATGTGGATTGCTGTGGGACCCCCCGATCTTGCCACCGCCCCGTTCACTCGATTTCCATCTGCTACTCCGCTTTCCTGCCTAACTTTACCCTTATCTGCTTTCCTGTGCTTGTGCATTCAGCTGCAACGTAATGCTCTGCCAGCCGACGGGCGGCAAGTGCAAGCTGACGGAGGGCTGCTCATTTAGGAAGAAGGTTGAGTAAGGGATGCTACCGGAGTGTGGGGCTGCACTGCTATAGAGGGCGCCGTTGCTGCTGAGCACGCAGTAGTAGAGGCCCCCTCTGTGCCCCTGTGCATTTTCCTCTCGCTTTATCGCACTTCGGATCTGCCATCTCCTTTGCGTGGCTTTTGAGAAGGACGTTGGTGCTTGGGGGTCATCTTAGTACTCACCCTGCAGACTCTTTCATCAAAGAACCCTAAACATGACAACGAAGTTTTGCGGGCAGGGGGGGGCTTTTGTAAGCAACAATAGAGAAGTCACGTCTGAGATCGTCTCCTACCTGCTGCGACGGCAATTTCGGTAGGCACTTTCGAGCAGATGACAGGTGTTGAGCAGACCGTTGATAGGGCGTAATGTAGTGCGGCAGACCGCAACAGTATCGCCGCCCAGTGTACCGTAGACCTAGAGGTCATAACCGAACTTTTGTAATCTGTATGCGGCAACAGGTTTCTTAACGACATTGGCAGAGTGTGGCAAACTAAGGCCTCCATATTTTGACTAAAAGAACACGCCTAATCAAAAGCACTTAAGTCATTCGTTGCTGCGTGCTGCTAAAAAGAAACTTCTTAGCTAAGGAAATCTTCTCAGCGAAGGTTGCTACGCTACACTTGAATATGCTCACAAAATGTATATTAGATTTCAGAGTTAGTGAAGGAATGACGGATCGGTTGCGTGTTTGTGCATATTTACACGTGGCAGTGTATACCCGATATGCAGCAATTCATTGTTGTGTGCGCCTAAGATGCTATTTGTAACTGACTGCGAATGCTCTAAGCGCGTACAGAGGAGCCGAGCGTGCCCCAGCTGTCCCTCTCTTCCCTCTTGAGGAGATTGATGGGCGCAGGCAAGAAGCTTTGGCAGGGGAAGGTTGAGTAGCTTTTCATTCAGCTTGTGTTGAGTCAGGAGTCACGCGTCCTTCTGTGAGTAACGTATATGAAGAGCTACAAAGCTGGTAGCATCGACGATTCGATGAAGCTGTCCCCTGGCGGCCGGAAGGGTAGGCCCCAAGTGCTCGAAAATTTCATCAGTCCAGCACCCTTTGGAGATGCACCTTGCTTTTTCCGCATATATAACGAGAAACAAGGGCTCCTTGCGGCTTGTGTGTAGGAGACTAACTTCAGTAGATGGTCTATTCATGCAGAGGAGTTCGTCCACTCGCAGGCACTACAGTTCAGGCCTTCGTGGAAGCCCTGACCCAGCACATAGAACAAATTCAACAGTGTAATGTGAGAGCGTTGAGATGGCTGAAGCAGGGTGATTCATATGTAGATTTGTCATTCTCTCCCAGACTGACCATAGTTCTCTGATGAACCTCTGGAAGTGAATTCAGGATTTTGATAAACGTAGAACTGTTTCTTGGCTTGGAGTATCCTGTAGTACGAATGTAGAGTGTAGGACATCTACGACCTCACAAGCGTGGCTGCCAACGCACTCTTGCGACCCGCTAATGACTCATTTTTCTGCAGCACACCCTTTCTTCTCCGTGATGTATCACGGTTTGCATACAGCTTGCGTGCGTGCTAGGCCTTTGACACCCGTGCAACCATTGTTATGCCAAAATCTAGAACGCCCATAAGGTGAAGCAATAAAAACGACGTCGAGGCTACACTGCTGCGGTTCAAAAAAGCGGGTATTGTGTTGCTTTTACACAACTTCGCTCCTCGGTGCCACTTTGGGCAAAGCACGTTGTCATGATTCTTCTGGCCATTTTGGGATTCACAATTCAGTAAAAAAGCTCTCTGTTTCTTTAAGTGGCCCGAGATGTGTCCAGCTTAAGAAGAATATGCACTGCCATGCCCGTATCTGAAATCTCTGATGCCCCTCAAACCTCCTAAGCCCGTCCTTTTGTAAAGCACCCGGCTTTCTGAAGCGATTTACACTGCCTTGACTATAGACAATCGTGTTGGTGTGCAGGTCAAACCTTAACATTGCGCCGAGGACATTGTAGAGACTTGACAAATATGTTATTTCATCCCTTGCTTTAGGTCTGCCACAGCTCGGGAAGTTTTTCAACTATTCTCGAGTCATGTCTGGGGACTCCATAGATTCCCCAGGCGTCTCATTACGGTCAGGTATTCAAAGGTATTCAGCGCTTGCTGAACACAGTCACAAACGTACGTACCCGCCTGTGTCAGAATCAAGCTGGAATAAGTCGTATGTTCCTGGTGAATAGCCAGGTGCTATGGGGTGCACCAGGTGAGAGGACGAAGAGTGTTGTGGCTACGTGACTGGGAACATTGGCCCTCGTTTCACGGATTATTCTTGACTCGCATGAATTTCAGTAAAAGTTGGAGCCACCAATAACTAGATATTGGCCCCCTACAAAAGTTTTCAAATCTCCGGGTTACTCGCAGATTTTGCTATGCATGCAAGAAACCCATGCGAAGGCGGAAGATCGACAGGAAATCACAAAAAAGCTGGATTTTACACTATTTATCAACAAAAATACGCTAGACGCGAGCACATAATATAATGCGGTGAATACCGCCGGCCTCAGTAATTTGCAGAGCAGTTGCCTACAAGAGAATTGCGGTTCTGTTTGGTCAACAGCGCCAATTCACATAGAATAGTTTTCTCGCATTCGCTGATTTCCTTCCTCTGCTAGAGTTTGTTAGTGTGAAATACTTTCTTCACCACTAGGAACTGCTTGCGATGTTTTTGGTTATTATTTTTATGATGTTCCCTATCCTTATCTGCATGGGTAAGCATTATCAGGCGTGTGTCAGTGTATCCTTTTTTTTGCGGCTTTTAAAGCTTTGATGCCGCCTATGTTGCACGCGCTGGCCCTATTTTCATGCAGACATTGCTGGGTGAGGTGCGAGGGCACTGCTAAAGTAGTGTGAGTTTTCAGTCACTTTGCAGAGTCTATTTGTCTATTTCTCCCGCAGCAGAAAGTTCGCACATTTTAGCCCTCCGAAGAAATTGTTCCCTCGCTCCGCAGCGTTCCTGCTGGATTTGTCCATCGTTGGTTGTTTGCTAGTATGTGCGTCTTTCTACCCCTTTGTCTCACTTATGCAGCTAATAGTGATTCTTGCTACTTGACTTTGCAGCGTTCCACATTTCTCTTTGCCCCGGGTGTGACGACAGGGCGGGGGCTCTTCCTCTGTCTTGCGTGAGGTTGATCTCGACGAACAGGACATGAACGCTTCGAGACTTTCTACTATACTAATTATATCTAACAAAGAATAAGTAATAAATTGATTAGATAGTTTGTCTGTTGCTAAATGTCTTTTCTTGCATGGTACTTCTAGCCTGATGCAAGTTTATGAAATATTGTATGCGAGTGCCTTAGATGCTATGTACAAGTGGTTGTGAACGCTTGGAGCACTTAGTGGGTGCTACTACGCGCATCGTAGCTGTTCGTCTTCCCTCATCTTAAAAACTCTAAGAGGCACGAGCAGGGATAGGCAGCAACTTTTAAGAAAACATTTACTAATTCCTAGTACGTTTGTGTGGAGTCAGACATTAACTGTCATTTTACAGAGACCGTGGATGATGCGTAACGTTATATGATTTGAAGCTTAATTCGGGAAATTCTGAAGCAACAGAGTGTGCAATTGATGCGTGCTAGGAATTAGCTGTACATGAGGACCGGTGGTTGCGCATTGGCTTCAAGCACTTCTTGGCAACTCTTATTTGCAATTTCACCAACAGACGGTAAGCAACGCTTCCCATCAATAGAGGGTAGACATAGGGCGCAGAAAACGTCTACATCTGATCCCGAATCGAGCAAAATTACTGTGTTTTTTCTTACCTCTTTCACTGTTTACTGCCACGTGGACGGTATTTACGAAGCACGGCAAGGCAAAGTAGTTTGGTTTGTGTCTCCACACATGACGCACTCATGTAAGGTAAACAAAGACATGGCCTGTACTAAGACATGCACAGAGCTGTATATGTGCCATGGGGATGACAAAGAGATGTAGAATTTCCGGTGAAGTGCAACAATGACGGTTGCCTTTTCCTGAGACTCCGACCTCACCTATTGAATTGTTGCACGGCTAGAAGCAACTGACCGGCTCGCACCGGGTTCAGTTTCTTGTATTACCCAAAAATTCATTGCAAGATGACTATCTTACATTTTTTAGGACGAGGAAAAGCGTGGGTTGCTCTTATCTCGAGTTTTCTTTTTGGCGCCGCATGCGCACTGGGCCGGGGCGTTAAAGACGAACGTGCAGAAACAACCTTGCAAAACGGTATTTCTTCGGCAGCTTTTCCCCTTTCTTTCATTTTAATTAGTCTAAACAAGCTTTTCTTGCTAGTGGTCTTTTAGGATCTCCCTGCGTGGTTTCCGCATTCTGCCTACGACACCCTTCCGCGTCGAGCGGCCGAGTGGCGAGAGGCTCATCAAACCCAGCTTTCACAATGCAAGTTTGTCCCGTATTTGTTGCGATACCAGTTTAAACAAGATCACCAGACTTCTTCGAAGTGTCCCATATCTTATAAACAAAACAGGATATCGTAGCGTCGTCATGCGTAGGGCATTTCCCCGGTGCTGTATTCTCGCCTGAAAAACGATTTCCATTTCCATTGTTTAATTTGTCATCGCTTCAACCATCTCGTAGTTTCTTGATGAGGTAAGAAGCTGTGCTGTTTGTCTTTGAAATCATGGACAACTTGCGAAGCGCAGAAGCAGGAAAAGGAGTATACTCGTGCGTGGTATAAGCTGCTTCCTTCTCCCCTGAATCCTTGTCTGGATTGTTTGTCATCATCGGATCCTTTGAAACCCATGAGTTTGTTTAGATTCCGTCTGTAGCAGTAGCGTCTCGGTCGCACCATCGACCGACTCACTTGTTTTTTACCCAGACATCTCTTTCTTCCTTATTCGGAAATCCCTTGCTTTTCGTCTTCCTCCCCCTTCTAGATTTTCCCCCTTATTCTGTCAAGCGCCATTTCGCACAGCAGAAGGGGGCGGCCTTCTTGTCACTCTTACAATGGCAGGCCCCCCTGAATTTTCTGAGTGCTTCTCGGGGTCCATATGCCCGCTGGAGCCATTCTTCCGCATGCACACTCAGGCGGGCATTCCTGCTGCCCCTTACAGCCAACAACGAAATCGTTTGGGTTTCGACTCTTTTCTCCGTCTTCACACCGAGCATAGAGTTGACCCATGGGCTCGCAAGCGCGCAATCAGGCGCCCTTTGAAAGATACTGAGGCAGGCGGTGCTTGCTCCCTATCCCAAGAGCAACAAGAAGCACGAAACAGCTATTTCTTTACTGAATCGACAGGAAAGGCCAAGAGCAAGGTCCTGGCCAGTTTCGTTTTGGGTGTAGAACCACCACCTCAACGAGGAGCGCTGGGTAAGAAACTAGGGAAGGAATGTAGCTGCATAGCGTAGTAAGACTTTCCCAGGTAGTCAACTTCTTTAGGGGTGATATTTAACAGCACAGCTTCTTTTCAGGTTTCATGCACGCGTATTGACGTAGGCGGGACCTAGTGAGGAACATTTTTGTGCAAAAATGGCCAAGCCAGAGCAGTTGCGCTTTTCATTCTCACACAGAGCTCTGGTGTGGTGCTCTATGTGAGAACTACACTCAGGATAAAGGCCTAACAGATTTTTGTGCAATTCGGCTAGCAGTCATCCTGTTGCTCGTTGTGTGCATGCTCGTGCATGTGTGTGCCATTTTCAACTCAGGCCCCTTGAGACGACAGCGGCACCGCTCATTCATCCTTCCCGCCGCGCCCCCTTTCACATCAGATGTCTGGGGACTGCGGCAGTCAAAAAACGAGTCTTACAACACCCTTTCGTCCTTTTGCGACGAAAATCAGCCTAAAGGTCTCTCTGTGCCTTCCCCGTTTGCCAGCAGGGAGGGGCCAGGATGTCCTCGTGGGCCTCCTTGGGGTCCACAAGAGTATTTGTGGTGTTCGAATTCTCCTGGCTGCCGCTGTGCTGACTGTTGCGAGGTGGCAGTGGAAGCGAGAAGGCAGAGGGGCCAGCCACAGAGAGTATCGAAGGTGAGAGCGGGAAGCACATGCAGAGAAGGGTTGTTTCTCTATCTACGCGTCCGCTTACGGAATGTGTGAACTGCGAGGTGTGCCAGTTATAACAGGAGGCTCCTTTGCATAAATACATATATATATGTATCGTCATAGAGACGATTTGGAGAGGCTTGTCGCTTAGCTGAGGAATGCCTGCCTCACTGCATTTGCCCGTCTCGCTTCGTGTATTGACCCCTTAGGTAGCCAACAAAAACGCACGCAGGCTGGCCCCGTAGTCTCTGATTCTGCAGTGAATTGCCAGTCGCCTGCCTTCTGCGCTTACAAATGATCTCTCGCTGGCTTTTGTTTGGGGTATGCTTGCAGAACCCTTACCGCGTATTGGATGCTCCCAATTTACCAGATGATTTCTACCTGAATCTCATTGACTGGTCCCTCGCAGATTGGGTCGCTGTCGGCATACGAGGCTCCGTCCTGCTCTGGAATGCAAAAACTGCAGCCACCGAAGTCCTCTTTAGCAAAACTGCTGCTCCTGCCTTAGAGGTGACCACACGTTGCGGAGGGACGGGGACAGCGTGCACACGCAGTTGGAACACATACATCCACAGCAGTGCAATGCCAGATCTCGATGTGTTCATTGGTTGCGCTGGATATCTCTTAGTTGCAAAGGCCCTCTTTGCATCTCTGTCTCCTGCACCCCTCTGTTCGCTGCCCGCTTCCTCACTCCTTTCGTGCCCCTGGAGCTTCCCCCTCCCCTCCTTGTCTTGCGTCTATTCACGTGCGTCCTGTCCTGAACGCGATTTTCATTCCTCTTGTTCTGCGCTTGCTTCGGCTTCTTGCACCTCTTTCCTTGCAGGAGGTGGCTTCCGTCTCCTTCTGCCGCGCTAATCCCCAATTGCTGTTTGTGGGGTTCCGCAACGGCAGCGGGGAGCTGTGGGATGTGGCCGCGAAAACGAAACTAAGGAACCTCAGCGGTCACAAGAGCCGCTGCGCTGTTTCCGTGTGGAGTCGGCAGCAGATGCTGCTTTGGACAGGCTCCCGAGACCAAACCATCCTCATGCGGGATCTCAGATGCGTAGGCACCCGTGTGCTGTAGTATCCGTTTGCCTTCCCCTGCACTCGTCTCCTGCGTATGAGGCTGCTTTCTTCGAGCTACTGAGCTCTTCCTGAGCAGCATCACGAGCTTTATCCTGTTCTGTGCCCTACGTGCTTGCTTCTTCGGCCGCCGCAGATAATTCTACCTCTATATTTTTCCGTGCAGCGTCGCTTTCACGCTGCATTTGCTTCCTGCCGTCATCTTCCCCCCTCCACTGCGCTGCCGTCCTGTGGGTGTATTCGTGCAGCGAGATGCGTTCTCTTCTTCGTTCTTCTTCCACCAATCCGAGCTCTGCGGTCTGGACCTGTCGCCTTCTGAGCATCTCCTCGCATCCGGTGGCAACGACAACCTTCTGTGTGTCTGGGACTTGCGGCAGACCATCCATCGCAGATTGGCATCGGTGGAGGCTTCCACCGTAGATTCCCTGGGCGTCGGCAAGTCATGGGAGTTGGCACCTGGTACGGATGCCGTAGTCAACTGCATGCGGCTCCCACCCCCACGCAGACATCCTGAGGGGGCCCTCTGGGGATTATCCCCCGGATGGGGCCTCTCGCAGGGGTGTTCTCCGGCTGTCGGAGCATGGCAAGAGCCGAGGAGCCGCTTCGAAGGGCTTTCGTGGGAGGGAGGAGTGTCAGGAGGAGCAGCTGCTGTGCAAGGCAGTGACGCGGCGGATCCTACCTCAGTGACCACGTCTACCCGTTCCTCTCCCGAAGGTGCCCCGAGGGAGATCGACAGTGCTTCCGCGGCTTCTCCTTTGTCTTCGACCTTCTCTCCTGGTTCCTTTGTCTCGTTGTCTCCCCTCCCGCCAGCCCCTTGGCAGCACCAGCCAAGGCCAGATGCAGAGCGGCGAATGCCCACAGTTGCAGCCGACCTCACTTCAGCACCAATGGCAGCAGCAGACGCAGAAACAGCATTCTCCGAAGCAGCTGCCAGGCCTGCAAGCGCGACTGCGGCGGCCGCAGCTGCGGCTGCAGCCGCTGCAAGAGGGCGAACAACAAAGCCCTTGCTCGTGTACAGTGAACACAAGGCAGCGATTAAGGCAGTTAAGTTCTGCCCCCAGATCGACGGGCTCCTCGCCAGTGGCGGGGGTACCGCAGATCGATATATCCGTCTGTGGAATGCGAAGCTGTAAGCCCTGACTGAACCTCAAACCCTTAGTTCTTATTGTCGTACAAAGGTACTCCCTGATGTGCGTTTAGATGCGACGGGCGAAAAAGGAGGGCGATGCCTCTTCTGTGTCTGTTGGCTCAGGGGCAGCAGTCGCAGCGTTTGCAGCGTCGATACTGGATGCCAAGTCTGCAACATTTGCTTTTCGCCGCATTCCTTTTCCTTCCTTAGCACCCACGGGTTCTCTTTGAACCAGGTCTTTCTTTGGCGCTTCTCTCCCTCCCTCTTATCCACGCCGCTGCCCGCTCAAACAAGCCACAAAACGCTGGAACCCTCCCTCCTAGAGTCTCTCTATCCGGACCTACAAGCTGAATACGCCAACGCGGTTGACCCCATCACAAAGGCAGCCACACTTACCGGTAAGAGGGTTTTGAGATACGGCAGCCTTGGTAGATGGAGATTTTTATCAAGCTCCGGGGCACTTGCTTCTAGTACGGGAAATGACATCTATTTTGGTGGGTGCAGAAGGCACTTGGAGAAATGCGGTATGCTATGCTTGCTTCGCGTGTCTACGGATCCCTGACCCCCCACAGTGTCTTCACCGGTCTCGCAGCTGACACTTCAGGGAGCTTGCGATCCGTTTATTCAGGTCACAGCGCCCGCGTGCTATTTTTGGCTGCTTCTCCCTGCGGCTGTAGAGTGGTAACGGGAGCCGGACGAGGCGATGAGAGCCTCCGATTCTGGCGGGTATTCCAGCAGCCAGGAGACAGCGTTGACGAATACGCTTAGCTGGCAGCAATGCCGTGGCTACACATGTGCAGTTAGAGACTTGCTTCCGCCTTTTCTTCTGTGTAATAGCAGGCAGGAGTGGAGGGGGGAACGTTTTAGGCAGGGAGAAGGGGCACCGGGTCAGTTGCGATTTTGTAGGGGGAAAAGACAGATTTTGGTGGGTGTAGAAGGCACAAAGAAAAACGTAGTACGCTCATGTTTTGTAGTTTCCCTCGCGCTTTTCATCTGTGCGCTTGCATGCGCATGGTGCACCTCCGTGTGCCTCCTCAAGCCGCTGCCACGTGCCCTACCGTATATTCTGCTCACGGCAGTTTCTGGATGGGCGCCTGGGAGCTACTTAGCCCACCTGCACGCGAACGTTTGGAAGAGCAGTCCACGCATCATTTTTCTGAAGTACTCTAAGCGAGCATGTGAACATGTATTTACGGTTGGGGTGCAAGACTTCGGGTCTGTGCGCTTCGCGATACAGACAAGACGGCACACTGTAAATTATCGCCGAAGGCCTGTACAGAAGCATTTGCCAAAGGCGCATTCGAGAGAGAAGCGGTGACTAAGCTTAAACTTGTTGTTTTGGCTGCAAAACAAATGAAACATGCTGCGCAGCGCGTCTCAGGTTTCATCTGTAGTCGCCGTGGGGAGACACTTTCCTGTTGACTCAAAACATGTTGTTGGGTGTTCTTGGAAACGAACTCCCTTACTCCGCTGACCGCAACCCTAAGAGTTAGCGACATGAAGGAAGAGGGACGGTAGTGTGCGCATAGCTAGACCTTCTATGTACTCCAAGCACTCACGGCTAGTTGCACATGAGCAGGATGTGGCCAACCTGATGGCACCTCATCATTAGTTAACGCATCCGCAAACTCCCCTTCAATATTTTGACATTTACTCTGTTTATTGGCTTACGAACCAGTCGCTAGCCCTAGTGAAGACCCAGCCGACGAGCTGCAAAGCCGAAGAAGCTTGCTCGTAGCCGTCTTCTTGTGCTGCGTTGCTGAGTTGCCCGCATGGAGACTCTGCCTTCGAGGTAGGTGCCGACTCTACCCCGCTCACTGTAGATTATTGAGCCTTGCTGAGGAGACCAGCAGTTGCTCATTTCTAGCGCTTTCCGGAAAACTAACCTCCATAGCGGGCAGATGTGGAGAAATGCGCGTCCTCCAATGAGTCACTCATGGCACACCTAAAATTGCGACATCGTACTCGGAACCAACATGGAATTCACGAACTATGCTGAGGGTAGCCTATTCTGAGTCAAAGTGGCCGTGGACCGCCGTTGCCTTGCCAGTCATTGCTTCCTGCTGGTTGTCAGCTAACCTGAGTCTTCGAGACTGCGCCAAATAGTGAACAGGCACGCTGCACTTCTGCGTCATCTCCTCGAATAGCAGGTTCGCTTCAGTGTGAGGTAAGGCTAACGTTTCTTGTCCATTAATGTGCGCTTGGAGCGGAGCAGAAATCGACCGCTGGAAAATCATCGACTGTGACTCCATCCTCTGTAGCCCCCTTCACTCTGCTGTAGCGTGCGTGGAGAAACCTTCCGTATCCCTAACGCGCCGCCTTTGCTCGCCTAGCAGCCTTCTTACACTAAGCCCAGAAATGTTGTCCAGCTTCTCTTGCGGTTTGTGTTGGAATTCGCGGATTATATGTCCCAAGTTTCACAAAAGAAGTCTATGCGTTGATAGGTGGCTCTCTAGGCGCAACTACAAATGGGAGTACCCTTCGGCCGTTTTTGCCAGTCGACTTAGGCTGCAGACTAGGGGCGGTCGACACGGCGTGGGCTGCCTATGTTTCAAGCTTACAGATGCCCCTGCATATCCGATTAAAGACGGAGGCGTTGCGCTCATTTGCTCCTGAAGCCTCGTCCTGTGCACATAGAAGCCCGACTAATGTGTGTGTAGGCTTAAACTATATGATAACCTGTGGGTAAACAAACTCCTTTACCTGAATTGAACCACTGTTAAAGTACTTCTTTTTCAATAGACACAGGTCAAGAAGCCCTTGGTTGTCTTCTTCCAAGGGGCACAAAGCGAGGTGCATCTCCAACTAGCTGATAAAGCTTTCCAGTATTTGCTCATCCTTACGGCCGTCATACTTTTCTGGTCAGCATAACCTTATCGACGGATCCATAAACATGTGTTTGGCTGGATAATCATGCCTGCGCACCACCTATGGCGCTACTACGTTCACATCAGCTTGCAAGCCGGCCTCTGCCTCTGCCAGCGTCTGTCGCTAGAGGCTTTCCTATCATCTTGTTGTAAAAGTCAATCAAGTCACTAATTTACCCTACAGCGGACCCTCCAGTAAATTTACACCTAGTGGATGAGAGGGGAACGGCTGTAGAAAAGTACACGTTACTACCAGCGTACGTAGAACGTCAAATTCTAAATCAATCCACACTTTTGAAAATTGTTTTCCAAAAGAACTCCCTTATTTTCTTGCCCACTCCCTTCAGAAGTCCGAAGCTAAGTGCGGGCAGCTACACCCTTAAACACTCCGAGAATTCACAGATAGCTTTACGCAGCATCCTGCTCATAAGCACACAACATTGTCTCTTACACTACTCCGCAGCTGATAGGTTATTGAAGCAGAAATACCGTTAAGTCAATTCTGTACTAATTCTAAGTTACATGTACCTAATGGCGTATAAAATTTTGAAGTGCATTTGAACCCGCCACAGCACGGGACGCAGCTCTTGCATTCCTGGGCTCAGAAAGCTGCCAAGCAGGAGTAAGCCCTCCAGTAGGCCCTTAAACACTGCAGCTGCTGATCTCTCACGGCGTTGTACAAGCCCGCCAGGTGTGGCCCCCTTGAAAAGCAGAGCACCCAGCTAGCCACAGCGAGTCAATGTAGCACAAAGCCCAGAGTCTCGTTAAGCAGACCTAGTTCTGGACCCTTATCAAGTTTGAAGAGGGAATGATATGGTTAGTTTTCCAAAGAACTTTCCCTCTTCGTGCTGACATTGCATAGGCTTCCTGGAGCACAAGAGGACAGTGCTGGTGGTTGTCAATATACGCTCCGAGAAAGCCCAGCATTCTCGTTCGGTAGCGTTTAGCACTTCAGCGCGCAGCCACACAGCAGTGTTCTTTGTAGTATGGAGCTCAGGAGCCCTTCGCTCGAGTGCCTAGCGTTCACAAACAGCCACTTACTGTAAGCTGTACCAACTTTGCGTGACGTCTCTACCAGTACAGGAACTGTCCATATGTGCTTGCGGCCGTTGGTGAAGTAAGTCGTCCCTGGCTGGCTACAGTGCTGTGCTCGTTAGGGAGGGACCCTCCCGAGCCTCCGCCTGCTCGGAGCGGTGCGAAGTCCCTCTGGTTCAAGAATACAAATGGTGCTCTCACAGACCCTTAGTAGCGTGGACACATATTTTCGGCCCCGAGGGACGTTTATCAAGCTTGTCAGCAGCACCAAGGGACATGTTGTGTTGAAAGACACAGGCGGCGTTTTATGGCAGAGGCGTGAATCCTATAATTAACGAACCATAAGCACTTGAATCAACAAAGACATCTCACGGCGAGAATGTGTAAACCATAAGCAGCGCTCGACGCACAATACACCGCACAGCCTCGACCACACTTTCATAATTTGCCGACTCGCAGAACCCTGAGCCGTCCACAGTGGTGACCCTATTTCTTAAGCCCGGAGTTTTACCCTACGCCTTGCCTCCATAATGCACTTGAAGAACTGGAAAAGGCGGGATGTAACTTCCCAAAGATACTTCCTCGGGGGTTTGGAGCTTCTAGGCTCAAAGACCATTGGTGGAGGGCCCCTTCATCCAGCCGCGCAACACCCCGGGCAAGTTTCCCTGCCGGCCATCTACGATCAAGGCGCCTCAGGTAGCTTGAGGACAGTTATTCCTCTTCGCCGCCTTCTTTCTCTCTACCTTTGTAGACTTCTTGCTCCGCTCGATCGAGGTCCCCGCTAGTTCCTTTTCGTCGGAGGACGGGTCGGGTGGCGTGGCAGCAACGGAAGTTGCGTGCTCGAAGACAGAAGCGGTTTTTTCATGGCGGAGGTGGCTGAGCGCGTTGAAAAAGGAAGAGAGGCGAAGAAAGCAAAGGGGAAGCACGCGAAACACCAAGGCAGGAAGCAGCCGAGGCGAAAAAGTTGCACACAAAGAAGGAACTCTGCGGCCCTTCTGAAAGGTCTCCCGTGGTTCTGGAGTCGGCGTACTTAAAAGAAAACAATCGCGAAGAGACCCCGTTTTTTCTCCCTTTCGTCTGCCTTCCCTCTCGGGGTGAGTCCTAAGAACCCCCCTCCCTCCTATCAAGGGCCATCGCTGCCGCCGCCACTGCTACCGCTGGAGGAAAAAGTAAGGCTCCTGCTGGGATTTGAATGGAAGCAGCAACAACAGCGGCAGCGGCTGTATCAGCCACCCTCTGAGGGCCTCTGAGGCGCTGCCCTTCCCTCTGCTTCCGAGTTTCTCCGATCAAACGTCACCACGGCATCTGGCTGTATCCTTGAGTGCGCGAGTGCAGACACAGATCACCCCTTCAAGGCGCTTCGAGAGCTCCCCAGATGGAGCTCCCTTACGCCCCCGAGGGGGTTCCCCCGGAGGATCGAACGGGCGGTTCTGAGGCATCGGACTTGGGGGCCCCACCACGGCCACCTGAGGCCCCTTTCAACCGGGCACTTTCCGCGCCAGTAAGAAATACTCCTCTCCCCCAGAAAGCCCACTCGCTGGAAAGCCCACAGCGCCTCCTCTCTGCGGCGAGAGGGGGGCCTCTTTCAGAGATGGAAGGCCCCTCTCTCCCGCGGATGGTCCGGTCGTGGAGCCCTCCGGGGGTCTCATGGAAGCACCAGAGACTCCCATCGGCGGGAAAAGGGGGCCTCTGTGGAGAGCTCGAAGGGCCCGCGGAAGGCCTCCAGGAGCTTCCAACGGACAAAGAGGGCAACCTTCCCAGAGCGACGCAGGGGCCCCTTCCAGAAGAGGTTTGGCGATCTGAAAAAAGTGGCGATCGACCCCTATTAGGCCAAAAAGACCCTCCAGGCGCACAGGGCCTTGCAGGGCCGAAGAAGGCGCCCTCGGAGCGCACGGATGTGGGCGCGTCATCAGAGATTGAGGCTTCTTCTTCAAAGACAGTAGAGGGGCTCGAAGGGCCTCCCTCCGGTGATTCGTGCCTCTCCGGGCAAAGGGCTTCTTCGGAGATTCAGTGGACGAGAGCGCCTCCTCAGGAGCCTTCCGAAGGGTCTGCGTCAACTTTCCTCGGTACTCCCAAGGAGGCCTCTGTTCGCGCCAGAGGCCTTGTGTCATCCACGCCCCCCCTCGCGCTACCCAGCGTTCCCCCTTCCCCAAGTGGGAGTGAGGAGGCTGTGGGGAGCTCCTCGTGGCTTCCTGCACCGCATACACAGATGGGAGGGGGGGGCCCATGTGCAGTGGCAGCAGACGCACATGTGTCGGGGGCCCCAGCAGGGCCCCCGCTTCGCCAGGGGCCCGCTACGGCCTCCGGGGGCCTCATAGGGGCCCCAAATCTCGGAAACGCTGCAGTAGAAATCCACGTGAACGAAGCCTCTGAAGCCTCGGCGCTTCCCGCGTCCTTAGAGTCCGAAGGGGGGGCCCCTGGCTCTCCGGAGGCGCCCAAAGCCTTAAGGGCCTTGGAGGCAATCGGAACCCCATCTACACCACAGCAGGGTTCTTTGGTGTCAGGCGCAGGTCCTCGGGAGTCTCCCGAGACTTTCTTGGCTTCGCATTTTTCTGTTGACACGCTACCCTGTCAGCCGCCCCAAGGGAAGGGCCCTCTGCTGGAGGGCCCCGACATGGCCCCTAGCGGCACGCTCTTGGATGTGTCAGGCAAGGATTCACAGCTTCGCGTACAGCGGGATAGGGAGGGGGCTGAGGACAAGGGGCCCCTCAAGGCGTCGGAGGGAGACAAGAGGCCCTCAGGGCTCTTGGAGCCGCATGGACTTGCTTTGCCCGCCGCCCTCAGTAGTCTTGCGAATGAGGGCTTCAAGCGAGTAGCCACTGAGTCTTGCATGCACCCGCGTAGTCGCGGCAACTCAAGCAGCAGTGAACGCGAGATGGGGGGTCAGCAGGATCCCGAGGGGCCCCTTGTGTGCCTGCCGCCACGGCCTCCCTTCGTGCCTCCTCTTACCCTCATCCCCGACATTCCGTTGACACCTCCCCAGCAGCAGCAAGAGGAGCTTCGGCAAGGCCAGGGCTCTGCTGTAGGCGTGAAGGGCCTTTTGGCCTCAATGTGGGGCCGCGTTAGCTGGGGATCGGTTCCTCAGCAGCAACAGCAGCAGCAACAAGAAGAGGCCCCTCACCTGCGGCGTCCCAGGCGGGTAAGCGGGGCGGCGCTTGGGTATGTACAGACGGAACCAGCCGTGCAGCAGTCCCAGCAGCAGGAAAAGCAGCAAGATGAAAAACCGCAGCAGCAGCAGCAGCAGCAGCAGCACGCAACCGGAGTCTCGGGGGTGTGGAGTGGCCGTGAGGTTTCCCATCATGGTGAAACACCCGAGGCACTGCCCTCAAGAGTTCCCACTTTGGCTCGACGCCGCGTTAGGGGCCCCGCAACTGCCGCTCTTTCCGCGCAGCAACAGCAGCTGGCGCATGCGAGGTTGCTCGTGCCTGAAGCCTCCGAAGCAGAAGGGAGTGGGGAGGCCTCAGGGGCCCCCAGTGACTCGTTCCATACACTGCGGGGGGGCCCCTCCGAGAAGCTCCGACGACGTGTGTCCCGCGCCATCGGCGTCAGCGGGCAGCAGCAGCAGCAGCAGCAGCAGCAGCAGCAGCAGCAGCAGTCAGCAGCAGCAGCAGCAACCGGAGAGAGCAGCACGTCCAGCTCCTTGGGAGACTTCCTGGGGACTGGGGGGGCAGCAGCAGACACAGGAAGCTGCCTCTTTGTGGTGCTCTCTGACGCAGCCAGTAAGCGAGTACTCCAGAGCACCTTGAATTTATCATCTACAGGCGATGCAGCTGCTGTTGCATATGTGGGTAGCGTGTGGCTGCTATGGGTGCTGTGCTTTCGTGGAGCGCTGCAGCACCAACAACAGCCGTGTCGTCGTCCTTTCAGCCCCTTCAAGGCTTCGTTGGGATCTCTCCTTGGGGCCGTCCTGGCCTCCTAAGGGCCTTCTTCGAGTCTGAGGAGCAAGCGCGTCAGTCGTAGCCGCTGCTACCCCCTTTGTTTTGGTGCTGCACGGGCTGTTGGAGGGTCATCTGTCTGCTGTTTTGGGGGCTGACAGCTTCTGAGGGCCGATGCTGTTTTGCTGATGTGCTGCATGGCTGTGTGCAGATGCAGTGCTTCCGCCAGATATGCCTTTCCGCATATTCGAGTGTCTGGATGCCCCTAGCGTTCTTCTGACCAGGCACCTGCCTCCCCCGATCGCCTTTCCAGAGAACGCCGCGAAGAGCGGCATTTTAAAGGCAGACAAAGATGGTTCTATCAGGGAAGAACAAAGACGACCCTCCGAGGGCGCGTCAAGTTACGTTGCAGGGAGGGGGCCCTCAAGGCCTTTTGTGGGAACCGTCCCCTCGGCTGCAGCTTGGATTCCGTCGGAAGGCATCTGTGAATCGACCCGTCAAGCAGAATGCGAAAAAGGAGTGGCTGCTGACCTCCGTGGGATTCTTCGCACAAGTACAGAGGAACTTCGCAATTTTTCCGTGTTGGCTGCCTCCGCGGCAAAAAAGCCCAACCGCAGTAGGAAATCTTCCGGCTTCTGTACCCCTTCCCTCTGCCCCCGCTTCCTTCGCCTCATTGAGCCGTATATGTTCGCCCTCCTTGCAAGCAGGGTCGAAGAAATTGTGCGCGTGTGGCGTCCTGTTCTCACTGAGTTGAGCGTGCTGAGCTCTTGCATGCGCGTGGGGCTTCAGGAAGCCGCATATCCTTCTCTACTCCGTCGGTGCAGCCTCTAGAGAACGCCTCCGTAAAGGCGTACTCGGGAGGGGGGCCCTCCCGACACATGGGACGGCTCAGTGTGGCCGTCCCCCGCGAAGTGGGGCCCCAAGGAAGTCAGGGGCTTCCGCCGCTGGTGCCTGCGATTGCAGCTGAGCTGCCGACTCCCGAGGATCTTGTCTTCTGCTGCTCCCCCGCACCTTCGGAGGCAGTGCCCGCAGAAGCAGCTCCGCCGCTAGCCACACTACGCTGCCATCCTCTTGGACTGGCCTCCGAAACATGTAGCCAGTTCCTGCTGGAGAGGGGCCTCAAAGGCCTTGCTTCCGCGCTGCTCTCCGTCAATGGCTCGAGGCGTGCGGAAGACTCCGGGGGCCCCTCCCTCGCGCTTGCGTGGTGGCCACCCAGTGCAGCGTGGGAGCCTGCAGAAATACCCCTAAGCCCCAGTTTGATAGTCGCGCCTTTTCAGAAGGCCCTCTGCGGAGCTGCAAAGGCTGCGTGGATGGGGGCCCCTGGGGAAGATCCAGCAGCTGCCGCTGCGAAGCGGGGGGCCCTCCTAAGGCCTCCCAAGCGGCCTTGGGATTTGTACGTCACGGCAGGGCCCCCGGCAGCGTCTCCTCTTGAGAAGGGGGGGGCCCCCGCCCAGGATGTCGCGGCCGCCTCGCATCTCGTCAGAGGCCTCCGGAGCTGCCTAGTCGCCCAAGGGGGGCCCCTCTTTGGCGTCTCCGCAGCAACGTATACCGAAGTTCTACGCGGAGTTCAAGAAGCAGTTAGTCACTTTCGACAGCGTGTAGCTGCCGATGCTTCGCAAACGCAAGAGCAACCGCAGCAGAAACAGGACGCCTGCTGCTGCTGGTCGTCAGGCTCTTCCATCGTGCTGCAACGGCTGTTTCACTCGGAGCTCAGGGCCCTCCTGAGAAAGGACAGCACTGCCTCTTGCGTCTTAAAGGTAGGCGTGCCGAAGAGAGGGTTTTTGGCCAGTGTAGGGGATTCTGGCGAAAGACGCCATCCGAAAGCCCTCCAGACGGCTGTATGCTGTGTTTGGTGCGTGTGCCTGTTGTCGCTGCTACCGCAGATTCGGTGGGGGGAACCAGAACCCTTGCTGGAGGCTGTGGGGCCCCAGGGGCCTCTTCTCCTTCTTCTACGGCATATCGGGGAACTGCAGCAGGCCAAGCCTTCGGTTCGTTGCGTAAACGTAAGCGACCCTAGCTCGTAAAGCAAATTTCGCACTTCAAGGTACAGTTCGGTTCGCGGAGCACATCGTGTCACATGGACTGCCTGTCTGCAGAAGAGCCCCCCAAGCAGTCTGCCCCTCCTCCCCACTCTGCTGGGCGGCCTTCAGATGGGAATGAATTGGCAGGGGTCTCCCTAGGATTTACGGCGTAGGATGTCTCGCTGCGTCTCAGGTTGCAGTTGGACCTCTTCAGCTGCGGCAGACTCTCGTGGCTGTCGCAGCAGCAGCAGAAGCTGCTGCTGCTGTGGCCGCAGTGTGGAGTGAGCACAAGCAGCACGAGTATGACAGCCATCGCCATGAAAGTAGGGGGCAGCAGCAGCACTTGCTTCAGCTTCGCCTGCTGGGGTGGACTTCTGCAGCCCTTGAAGGCGCGGCAGAAGCAGCAGCATCGGCTGCTGCTGCTGCAGCTGCAGCAGCTCCAGGCGAGGATCCAGCTGCAGGAGCCGCATCTGAGGGAGACGGTGCATTGGCCACTGTAAGACAAAATTAGATCGCCGCGGGTCTGCGTAGAGCTGCACACTCCCAGCTTCCAAGCTTCACGAAGTAGCACATTCAACAGGGGTTGTGAGGTGTCTTTGCAGTTCCCAATGGACTTCATCCCGCCAAGGCTTCGTTGGGGGCGTTTGCTCTCGCGAATCCTCGCAACGCCCCCTGCGGCGGAGCTGCTTGCAGTTGTTAGGTAAGCTGCAAAGCTCCCCCTATTCTGGTGCATGCCGCTTATAACCTAAATCGTGTGAATACGGAAGCGTCCTTCTGGTTTTTTGCATAAAATGCCAGTTTAATAGAGTGTATGATTCGAGTAAAGGTGAACGAACCCTTAAAATCGAAGACGTTGGATTTTAATTGGATTTAAACTGTTTTTGGCTAATATGTGACTTTTTGAACCAGCCTGGGATTCAGACTTAGATATGTATAACTACTTAATACCAGAGCTCTTTTAAATTTGATTCGCGGCGCCAAGGCATTTGTACTAAGGCCCTCCTTGCGGCTCTGATCGTAGAGTTTGATATATATATATACATATATATATATTATATATCTACATGTATAGTTAGTCTGTGTGCGCATGCAGGCTACACAAAGCAGCGCTCCTCCCAGGTCGTGACACCCTCGAGCTGCGCTGCTCGAAAGCCACCCGAGAGAGTGTAGAAGAAAGCCTCCGTCTATCTTTGTTGCATCTGAATTGTCAGGTGAGCATGCTTCGAAAGCTGCTGCCTTGGCAGGTCGCTGCCGCTGTAACAGCGCAGGCACTCCACGATTCGGAGGTGCAGCAGCGATGGCTGCGCAAGGCGTCGCAGCGGCATCACCAGCTGGAGGATCAGCAGCTGGCCGCTGCAGCCGTCGCGTGTAGCTTCTCCCTGGGGCCTTCTTGCTCCTTTCCGCTGGTTTCCCTGGCCTTCCCGCTCCTTATTGACGCATTCAAGGGGGCCCCTCCGCCCCCATCCGGAGGTTCTCGCCTGAAAGGAGTCATTGGAGGTTCCCAGGCTGCCCCCTCGACGACACTGGAAAGCGCAGCCCCTGGGCTCGGGGATTTTGCAACGCAGCCCCTTTCAAGCGAGGAGGCTCCCTTGGGAGTTCTTTCGGGGAGCTGTGTAGCGTTTTCTGAAGTTGAGGAAGTGGGGTTTGCCGTGGTGGATGTGTGTGGCGAACCTGTCGATCTTTGGCTGGTCCTAAGTCCTCATGCGGGCCTCTGTGAGGCATCCGTGAGGGCCCTGGGGGCCCTCGAAGAGGGTTGCTCCTTCCTGGGAAGCTCCGCATGGGTCCTGCTGAGTGGTAGCTGTTTTGGGGGCCCCAGAAGCCCCTGGAAGGGCATCCTCGCCTCCGAAACGAAAGGCCAAGCAGAGCGACTACCGGCTGCGGCGGGCGTGATTAATTTCAGAGGAGCTCGATCTCAAGATGCCGTTGCGAAGCTCCAGAGGAAGAAGAGCAGCAAAAACAGCGGCAGCGGCAGTCGCGAGGACAGTGTGGTGAGCGAAGAGGCTGTGTCTTGTGGAGGCCCTCAGACATCCGAGGGCCCCCACACCCAGGAAGGTGGAGGGCGACTGAAGCCTTTGAGCGTGGCAGTCCGCTTGGGTGTTGGATGTGGACGCGCGTGGGGCACCCTGTGCCCACCCCAGGGCTGCCTTCATGAAAAGGAAGCGATGCGGTCCTTTGAGCTTGCGCTGAGGGCGATTTGTCCGGAAGGCAAGCTAGCGTGATACACACGCCTCCCTATGCACACGTGCCTAACGCCTCTGCATCCTGCGGGGCTTGTGGGAGCAGTCACCCCCCAGGGGGTGCCTGCCCGTATGGCTCAAGGGGCTTCTTTTTTCGCTGAGGCGCTCTCGCCCTTCCTCGACCTCTCGGCTGCTTCGGGGCCGTGTGGCGTGTGGTGTAGGAGAGGATCCGAGCTCCACTCCGCCTTCCGAATTTCTGGTGCCGTGGAGCTTTGGTGGGCGTCTCATTGGTCCGAAGGGCAAGAACAGGAGGCGCTTCGCCAGCAGGACGAAGGCCTTTACGGCTGTCATCAACGAACGCAGAAGGGTAAATAGGGCGGAGACGCGGTTGCCCGCTGGCTGGGAAGTGCAGGGTTTTTTTCTGGGAGGGGGGGGGGGCTCTCTGTCTGATGAGGGATACCCTGTGAACGAAGGCTGGCAAGGCCTTGGAAATGAAGCTTGCTTGAAAAGGCTCGGACTGCTTTGTTGCGGCTTTTCAGGGGCCTGATGGCCGTGCCTGGCGTCGAGTACTGGTGGGGGGCCCTATGGAGGTTAGGCTTGCGATGGCTGCCGAGCTATTCAGGGTCTTGCAGTGGCCTGCAGACAAACCAAATGAGCCCTCTCTCACAGAGGCGGAAGCGAAAACCATCGCAGCGGTAGGCTCCAAACTACTAGAGAGCGCATGCATGCGCACAAGGGGAGTGCTCTCTATCTATATATATGCATATATGTGTGTGTATACATGTGTGTATATGTGTATACATATGTGTGTATATATGTGTATGTGTGTACATATGTGTGTATATATGTATATGTGTGTACATAGGTATATGTGTGTACATATGTGTGTATGTATGTACATGTATGTACATATGTGTGTGTGTGTGTATATGTGTGTACATATGTGTGTGGGTCACACTAGCCCCAATATTTGTGAGAGGGCAGACAAAGGCCTTTCTGTTTGGAGTTTCGCCATGTGCGTCGTTTTTAGGACCCCACAGTGCCGCTGACGCGGTGTCTCCACCTTCAGGCCCTAAGACCGAGCCCTCCAAAGGTGACTGCTTCAGGTGAGCCTTTGTACTCAATGGCGAAACTCGTGGAGCTGATGACTGTCAAACCGAGTGCTCCTCCCCGGCAGCTCACCCCCGGCCTTCATCTGCTCCCACATTGGTGTAAAAGAATTTGGGATTTAGGGATTGAGGCTGTGTGCTCAGAAGATGACTGGACCGCCGTTGTAAACGAAGCCATGGCGCAGTGGGTGAGGGTTTCTGTCACTCTTACCATCCAGGATCCTTTATGGAAGGCCTCCTGGAGGCACGGTGCCGCGGAAGCCACCCAGGGAGACCTCTCTCAATTGGAAGGTCCTCTCCGTGACTCTGCACTGCGGGCTTTCCGTCTTAGGGGCCTCGAGTTTGTCGCCTGCACACGCAAACTCAGGGTAGACTCCCAGGAGCTTGCCCACAGCTCAGGAGTCTCGGAAGAGGCCCCTCACTTTGCGGTTGTGGCACCCTCCGAGGCCTGCTTGGACGGCTCTGAGGCAGCGGAATCCATGGAGGTAGAAGTTGTATTCAGGGGTACCGTATTGGCGATAAATTCTGGAGGTTTTGGAGCGCTAAAGGCTCTAAGTGAACTCTTCAGAGGGTCAGAATTTACATGCTCCAATCGGATCCAGTGGTTGAGCAGCACCAGTAACAGTCACAGCACCACGTTCGGAGCGCATTTTGAAGACAGGTGGCAGCGGCTGCCACCAGAGGTGGAGACGCAGCTCCAAGATGTTTGTTGCTCCTTGACGGCTGCTCTTCCTGGTGCTGGAGCAGCTGAAATAACAGTTCCCATTGACGGGACGAGATACGTGATTCCAAGTGCAGAGGTGAAGCGGATGCTGCAGGGCCATGGCAAACCATGGATAGCAGCACAACCAGCGTCGGCGTCAGCAGGTAGCAGTAGCAGTGTTTTGGTGTGCCGTATTGCGTTATTGCCACCCCAGGAGCAGCGGAGGCAGTTGGACGAGTCTCCTGTGGCATTCCTGTAGGGTCTGCGAATTTGATTTCCAGCCGTCTTTTCCCCAAGAAATTCTTGCATCCATGGGCACGGCCAGATGCCATGTGCGTGTACATGTGAAATATATGCCTTTTATAGCTGTACATATTCGTGTACGCAATTATACTTTTCCATATATGTATATATTGATATGTGCATACCGCTTCGTAGCGAGTTTTCTGGGGCAGCGTGCGTGCGTGTATGCATGCCCCTGCTACTTGTTCTAAGATCTTGCTGGCTGTGATTCGGCTCGACATAAGTGGCATGCTTCGCTTCTTCGAAGCTTAAGTGCTCATAGATATGCACTGCATGCACCTGTGTATAGGTGCGCGTGGATCGGTATGCGTTTGCCTTAGTGCATGTGCATGCTCTTCTAGCCGGGCAGTTTGTGAATTGGTGTGCAGGGTTATTCGCATGCCCGTATATAAATAGGTATATGGATTTATTTGTCCACCAACATGTGTAGATACAAATTCCAGCAGGATTATCAGCAACTACATATCCATCCACATAAATGCAGCTACACCTCTGTGACCACACGTGCGCGCATAAGCGTGTGGGCACCCATCCATCTGCATGCTTGTAAGCCTTGTGTAAGCATATGCAGTATTAGCTCTGTGCATGTGTATGTATGTGTAGGCAACTGTGGCCTTATGCCATCCCTTGTTTGTATGTATAAGACATATGTTTAGGTATTATGTGGATGCAGACACGTACACATATATATCTATACTTCGATACACAACGCTGTGTATTGGTGAGTGTATATGTATACGTGCTTATAGATCTATGTGCATACGTATGCGCACCGTACATATATATATATATATCTGGGCATATATACATGGACACTTGGATATGCTGCATACAAATGGAGATATGCACATGTATGCAGGTGTGCATTTGCGTGTCTAAGTTATGGATTTGCTTTACGTGTATTCATGCACGCTGCCCCCAAGCCCCAATTCTTTTCCAGACATCCGTGACACTCGTGAACCTCTGCTGCGTGGAGCAGTAGAGAAGCTCTTTTATTTTATATGGAAACTTGTGGCCATAGTCGTAGAGGGGACAGTAGCACGGGCGTAAGGATCCGATATTTGGTGACTGACGTACCTCACACACACACACGCATACTTTACTCAGGCTTTGTAGAGAAAACTATAGGGCATGTGTGGGGATACACGGTAAGTGTTGCGGGCTTCGGTGATAAGAGGCCTGTACGCACCAAGGTTCTGCTGTGGAAACATAACTAAATGCACATGCAAGCTGAAGTAGAATCATGAACACTTGAAACGCTTAGCTGCAAACTCTGAGGTTTAGGTTAACTTTACCACCATAATATTCTGTACAGTCTGCAGTGCCATACGGCTTGAAAACCTAGAGCGTGCCCCAGATCACTACGAACCCTATGGCGTTCAATGTTTTCGAAGATACCTTCGAGGTTTTTGAATAGCTCAGCGTCCCCTGCAGAGCCTAAAACTGCAAATTTCAAGACCAGAGCAGCGATTCTAATGGCTACTTCCGCGACGCTCGGTATTCGATGCAAAGCCAAATGCTCAACGCAAGTAGAGGTATTGCTCATAATGTTTAATAGCCTGCTGCATGGAAAGGCTTCAGAGAAGAACTAATTTTCGGGTGACTTGCTCCTAGTGTTTGCTTACACAGGCTACTGTACACTTGAATTCCGCTTGCCATTTCGTGCTGTCGCTCTTTGTTCTTTTCCTATTCATCTTCGTCTACCTCCCTGGTCGGCTCGATGCTAATTTTCATATCCTCATTTACTCTTTGATTTGTCAGCAGCAACACATGAGAGCCGCTAAGTCCTCTACTTGTCGACCTTCACGGACAGAAACTACGTGGAAATGGGGTGGCAACTTTGCCTTTTCTATGAATTGTTGGGCTACTGAGTGCCTAAAAACGAGACTAAGGGATGCACTAAATGGTAAATAAAAAATCTGAGAAAAATAAGTACATGATAAATCTCTAGGTTTATCTCTACTTGCATGCTTGTCCAGGTACAACAACTGGGTACTGCTGCCTAACAGGTTACATAATGGTGGGTGTTTAAGAAATTCGATGAATAAGGCGCTGTGAATTGATTTCCCGTTTTCCATGGTCTCCTCTTCAGAGACCAGAGGTCCCGCTTTTGTGCCTGACAGGGCAAATACACCCTGAAATCGGTTGCATTGAAGTGAGCGCGTAACGTGCATTAGAATAAATATGCAAGCTAGAGTGAATGATTGCGATGTGCTCGGTCTATGCCACTGCTTCAGACCCTCACTGATGAAGAACGGGAAAAATTTGAACTGTTCTTAGTGAAATGCCATAGTTTCCGAAAGGGGAAGAAACAGAAATCGAAGAGCATTGTCTATGGGAATTCAGTGGATGTGTTCAGGGCAAAAAGGAAGCACAGAGAAGCGCTCGCCCTGAACCAGGGAAGCGAGAAGAAAGGAAAGCTAGGGCTGAGTACTGTGCAAGGGAATCAGGCGGGAAGTGCGAGGCGGAAGGCGGAAGTCAAGCAAGAAGCGGTAGGAAAAGCAATAGTGCAAGAAATTACGGAGGGAGAAGAAGAGCACGAAGGAGAGAGGAAGCACGAAACGATAGCAAAAGGAACTTTGGGAAGCGCAGCTGTAGAGGACGGCAAGGCAGAACCTGTAATGAAGCAAGTCGGATCAGCAAGAGGAACCGTAGATGGACCGCCACAAAAAGCAGCAAGCACACATCAGCAAAACGAAACTGCTCAAGCAGAAGAAACGGGGAGTGGAAGAGCCAAGCAACCAACGTTCAATCCTGAATGCAGCGGAGGACAGGGATCTGGTTTCAAGGTGATGCGAGCTGAACAGGATGCGGGCGAAGCAGAGAGACCAGAAAGAGCAGAAAAGGGGGATACGCCCCAAAGGACAGAAGGAAAGGAGAATGGAAACCAAACTGCAGTTAACGAAACGCCGAAGAGCCACCCAACGGGGCCAAGTACAGATGTCGCGAAGAGCCTCAACAAGCACAAAAGCATAAGAAAGCGCCCTCACGTCGCCAACAAAAATATTCCGACGTACGTTTATTGAGCTTGGGACACATACCGCTCATGAGGCACACTCAATGCAAATCAACGAGAAGGATGCATTCGCCCTAGCGGATTCATTGCTCTGCTTTCAGGGACAAAAGTGGGCAGAAACGAAAGGTGGAGGAAACGCAACAAGACAAGAGGGTAGAAGGTGACCCACTAGTCGCTAATAGTTGGAATTAAGGAACTCAATCAGAGCACGCCCGCAACTAAGCGTCTGGGAACTAGAAACACTTGAGCCGATAGACCACATTCAGCAAATGCTCACAAGAAAGCAGATCCCCCGATTGTGTGACCTTTCAGGCATCTTTCCCCCCGGATCGACTCGCCAAAAGCGCAGCTGTACCCTAGTACACGGTAAGCAGAGCAGTGCACGGCAGCCAGGAGAGGTAGTGAAGCGCGCCGAGCACGCGAAGATGCGTCGACATGTGCATACCCATAAAACCGCATGCACTGTCAAGGCGAAAATATTGAAATGAATGGCTTTCCTGCTTCAGATATCCAGAGGCTGGAAGCGTTGAAGGCACTCAAGGTGCCAAAAGTGGTAAAGAAGCAAGAGAGAAAGTTGTTTCCCCGGGCCCCCGTAAGCGTTTTCAGCGCATTGCTTTTCCCTTGCGCTTCTCTCTATGCGCACTTGTTTGTTTCAGGGGGAAAGTGCCCCTCTGCTTTGCTTGTGCAATGGGCGCACACGCGCATGCGTTGCGTTGAGAGCTCTAACATCCGACCCTAAATCTTAGATCTTTGATTTGTCTTTGCCATGGTGCAACAACTGGGCAATGTAAAGCATTTGTTCTTTACAGAACTAGCCTCCCTTTTATGCTGCACTCCGGAGTTTGCATGGCAGTACACATACTTGCACCCCAATCCCCACGTGGCAGACCCCGAAATACCCCCCAAAATGACTCCTAGCCGTAGAACAAGCTGTAGAGTTGGTCCTTCGCAACATGCATGGAGCGACGAGGAAGGAACGCATTCAAAAAGCGAGTTTGTTTCAATCGCACGAGAAGATGCGTGCAGCATGCGTGTCTGTGTAGGGACACGTTTAGCCCCCATGTAACGTGGAGATGAAGGTAAGCGTATCCCCATGATGAACTCGTGTTTCGGGTCCATTCAAGATCTCTGCATCAGTTTCGTTGATAAGGGCAAGTACGCCCCCCCGCACCTTCATGCATCCTTGTAATAGATCCTCCGTTGAGAAAGAAGTGCTGCTGAGGTTCGCGGATCCCGGCTCTGCCTTTGTATCGCTTGCCGCTGGCGTCGCCGCAGCTCGTTGCTGCGCCTCATGCAGCTGCTCACTCACCTCTGGGTCTTGGGGTGTATAGGCAACTGCAAAGAGCTCGGGCTTGGAGCGTAGCAGGTGACGAGCCACAAAGGAAACAACGTGAAATAGACGCACATCCGGGGAGGCAGATGAAAAGGAAACAGAGACACTTTTGCTCTCCCCGTATACCAGTTGCTCTAAACCACCAGCAAACTCTATTCGGAACTCCATCGGTGCCAGCGCTTGTTTGCTTTGCCGTTGCGGGTCCTGCAGTCAGTCTCCTTCCTCTGCGTTGCTACACTCCAATAAACTGCACGTTTTCATGAGAATGATGCTTTCCGCTGTTCAGAGGCAAGGACACAACAACGGACCAGCAAACAGACGAGTTCAGACACAAAACTCGCAGCGTTCTCGAACGGAAGAGGGTGCCCACGAGGTTCGCTTATTATACTGCTTCAAGAGGTTTTCCTCTGGAGTTGAATTCGAGCACTGATTCGCTCAGAAAAAGCAATAGGGGGGAAGGCGGATGTAGAAGATCCTTAGCGCTTTCAACCAGTGCCCACCGGGGGGGAAATTTCAGAGAGAAGCCAGAGACACTGATATTGTTGTCTTCTTTTATCAACGGAGATACAAAAAACCTTACCAAATCAGCCCTTTAACCGCTGAAATTCAGGCCTTCCGGCGAGCCATAAGTCCGGCGCAACCCCTGTGGAGGGCCCTGTATGGTGGGGGGGCCCCCGCAAGAGAATCTTTCCTGGGCAGGCCTCGAGGAATGATGATCATAAGTTCAGCACCTTTCTCTGAGGATCAAGTGCTTAAACGTCCACCAGCCGAGGCTCTAAAAGATTTCTGTAGCGGTGGGCCTACTATAAAAGTTCTGAGCCACAGCCAAATCCCGAAATCTCCCAGAACTTGAGGCGTTATAGTGAAAAGAGGTGGCTCCCAAGTGCAAACATAATCCCATGCCTAAACACAGAAGCCTCAGTATAAGCAAATCACCATGCATTAGACTTTTTGTGCGCTGAGGACACTGCGTGTAGCGCAGCTTATACCAGACGAAGCAACACTTAAACACTTTCTGCGACGCTGGTTATGCTTGGACGTAAATTGATAGAGAATTAACGAATCGGCATTTCTGTCCATATATTTCACTTATCCCAGGGTCAGTTAGCTCAATACAAGGAGATGCAATGCTGGGTGGTTGTGCCCTGGACGCCCTCTGCACCTAGATGTAATTGCTCGGAGTGGACAAAGCGTGCAGCGACGCGCACGCTATTCTCCCTATCGCCTCACATCGAGAAAATTCAATGGGCGTGACCAGGGAAAGGCAAAACCGTTCGTTTCGGGAAGTACTCAATCACTGCCTACTATGTTTGAAATCGAGTCACGAGTTAGTTCTCCCTACGGAGACCTTAAGTAGAGCGTTACACAGCCTATAAATTGCGCATTTATTTCTGACTAACGGCAGTGCCCCCGGGGGACCGAACCGATTTGTTACGGCCTAGGGCGTTGAAGGCCTCTCGGTGGCCCACTAGGGAAAAACTCCTCAGGCCTATCCAGCTGATGGTGTATACCTGTGCATTGCAAACCTTGAGACGTAGCAGCAGCAACAAAAGCGATTCAGCTCCAACAGCATACACCCGAAATTGTCTTAGTGTACAAATGAGGCTCTAGTAACACGAAGTGCATGTTGCACCGCGAAGAACCCAGGAAGCCTCAGTCCTGTTCTATCAACCCCCACTTTTTCTTTTTGGGGGTTTGGTAGGCCTTCTCCTCAGCACCAAACTCTCTTTCATACGTCCTAGGTGCCCCTGGGCCCTCCGTAAATTCAATGCGACGCCTCCCAGACGGACCCTCTTGCTGTTGCAGCGGCTGCTGCTGTTTCGCCTTGGAAGATCCCTTCAGAAAATGGAATTTGCGTTTTGCTGTAGGGCTGTTAACTGAGTCTCTTGCTGGAGCGGCGGCTGCGTGCTGCCCTGCCACAGCTGCAGCCGCAGCAGAAGCTGCTGCTGCCGCCGCGGGGTCAGCCGCAGCCTGGTCTACCATCCGCAACAACGGGGGAGGAATCGGCGCGAAGGTGAGTTGCTGCTGTTGCTTGTGCTGCCGCCTCTTCCCGCAGCAGCACCAGTAAATGACAGCATGTAGCACGCTCAGCAGAAAACTGCCAAGCAGCAGATACTCAAAGATGTGCCAACGAAATAAGGGCCTGAATAAACATACACGCATACACACATACACATACACACACACACATACACACACACAAAAGACCGCAGCCCATATGCCTTGAAAGGGAAGGAAGCACCCTGAAAGCATATCCTTCTGGCTGTGCTTTTAGCTCCCTTTTGGCTGCTGCCCTTAAACCTCCAGTAAAGAGGATGGAAACGCGCGGAAAAGCAGTTTGTTAGCAAGTACCATACCCGAAAAAGGGGAGATGCCGTAATTGCACCCCGAAGCACAGGGCAGCTTCTGTTCCTCGAGCATAGCGTTGAAACGAGTTCTGCAAAACCAGTGTTAACAGCACATATAACGTCGCCCTGTCTAAAGCAGCCCAAATAAGGTGCGAGCTCGAAACTCCCAAACGCTGAGCTTCTGGTCCTTACATAAGAGAACAGGACGGCACCGCATGTGGAGATGCCCAAGAGGCCGACGTTGAACAAGAGCGAGTTTAGACGCGTGCCGTCCCGCCGCATCGGGTGGATCGCGAAACAGCAGAACATCTGCAAAAAACAGATTTCCCAATCCAGAAACGCCTTAAGTTCAACGAGTAGGATGCCGCTTGCAGCTGCACGAGCGTGGAGCCTCCCGCCCCCGACTCCCACCTCCCGGCTTTCGACCCCAAAGTGCAGTACAGCATCCTGAGTTATGTACCCGCATGCCGACGGAAAAACAGCCCTTCAGCACGCAGACCAGGAAGTAGACGACCAAGAGAAAGTAGATGACCAAGCCCAGCAAGGCAGCCTTGTGAGTTGCCAGAAACTGCAGTAACAACAGCGCTCAACGCGACAGCTGCAGCATGAGTCCCAGCAGCCTGGTAGACTCGGTAATCAAGCATCTAGGTCAGCAGCGAAGCAATAGCAGCCGCAGTGCTAGCAGCGCGCCCTGATAATGCCAACACGACGGACGGCAGCGTGCAACTGAAGCAGCACGCGATAGCAATTGCAGCGACACAAGAAACCTAATTCATGCAGCGCTTCCTGGCTTGTGGGCCGATAGTTCGCCAAACGCTTGTTGGTGACTAGAAGTGTTACTGTCTGCGGACCTCTAGAAACCAGTCGACGAAAGCGAGAAAGCCTGAGGGTTGTTCCTGCGTGATGCGCGGTATGACAAAGTAGAAGAAAACGTGCAGAATCCACAGGGCAGAGATACAGCTGCCAATACACCCGAGGGTGAGCCGCACAAAGGCCATCAAGACATAATTTCCTTTTTCCTTCATGACCTTGACGAGCTGTCTGTACTCTTCTTCCAGAACATAAACAGCCTGCTTGAAGCGTCGCTGCAGCTGCTGCTGTTGCTGCTGCTGCCGCAACTCGCGTACCCCGCTGCCACCACCAAACCATCTGCCGCCGCTGCTGCATGCGCCTGCTAAATGGAGCTGCTGCTGCTGTTGCAGCAAAAGCCCAGCGGCGTGCAGCTTCTGCGCCTTCGCACCCAGTTCTCGACGCCGCTCGCTGCGCACGCGCAAAGACACAAATTGTTAGTTCTTTCTTGAACTGTGACGTGCACGCACCAAGCCGCAGCCGTAGACGCTAGAGGCCCTTGTTCTCACTTGAAGAGAGGAAGCGCCATGGGGCGCTGCCTGTAGAGAAAAGAGGCGATCAGATCCTTGGGAAGGGTGAAGAGGCCAACGCCTCCGAAAACGGCAGAGGGGATAGAGCCCAGAGCCGACATTAGGGCAATCAAATACACCGAAAAGCCAGCAGCCACTTGCACTTCATCTGCTGGAGTACCAAGAGAGCCGCTGCTGCTGCTGCTGCTCGTGTTGCTGCCGCTTCCGTCAGAGGCCTCGGTTTCGCTGCCGAGGGGCACCGCACTGGCAGCACTGCTGCTGATGGAAGTACCACTGGGATTCAAGGTGGCGCAGAAAGTTCGCATCCACTCTGGCTGATCTGCGAAAGCAAGCCGACGATTCGTGTGATTGTCTTGTTCAAAGGTGCACAAAAAACGTTTTGGCAAAGTGCTGGGAGGCCCCATAGGACCAAGGAAAGGGCTGTAGCCCTCCACAGGCGCACACAGTGTCGAGTTTTGCCGGGGAAGTCTTAGGGGTTAGAGCTTACTGGCTGCATTGACTTGATTACAGAGATCCCCGCTGAGTTTGAGATGGATCGAGCGGAAGAGAAGGAAGCAAACTCCCACTACGAGCGCTGCTGTAATCACGGAGCAGACAGTCAAACAGAGGGCCCGTCTGAAGGGTTTGGGAGATGCCGCTTTCGACAGGCGAGGGTCAGTGTCTGCCTCATAATAGAAGACGGCAAAGGGAAGTATAAAGAGCAGGTACAAGCCCATAAACCACCATGCGCAGCGCCAGTAGACTCGCATGTCGAGACCTAAGTAATTCACACCCCACAGGCAAACAGACAGACAAGAAGATACGCAAACACATAGGCCCAAGATCCTGACATCCCCATATCTGCGTTTCTGTAGCTCTTTCCAAGGCTGTCTGCGAATGCGGGAGCCTGCTTGCTGCAGCAAGACATAGACCAACGAACGCTCAGCGGGCATCACAATGCAGTTCTGAGGATTTTCTAGCACGTACCAGCGGTAGCGCCGGGTGAGGCTAAGGGAGAGTAGATGTTGTACACATCAAGAGGAAGCCCTAGAACTAAAAGCCAAACCAGCTGCAGGCCGAAAATGATGGCAATCTTCCCCACTGCCTCCTGAGCACACAGCGTGAAGTCGAAATCCTTGCGCCCTCCAGCCACACAGCGGAACACATGCTATGCCATACATCGCGCAAAGGAGCGACAGGGCGTTTTGGCGGCTAGTTACAACGACACATACACTGCAAGGTGTGGCAGCGAGTGGTGGTATTACAGAGGGTAGCTAGCCGTCTGACAAGCTAGCCCGCTAGAATCTTACCTGCGCCGAGAGTCCGCTGTCATCTTGGTGCTCGAACAAGTAGAGAAGTCGCAAGTCGGCGAGGAGGCACACGAGCAAGTAAACAATCAGAAACAAAATAAGCAGCCAATCCATTCCTACAAATACAGCAAGCAGCCCAACGTACGCCGTGCTCGTCGAGGCCTTTTAAACGGCTGCTCCTGCAGTGGCAGCTTGAGGAGGCTGGCAAACGAAGATTTGGGCACCTGCGGACCGCTTATCGCTTAGGCCTTCGATAACGAAGTGAAGTGTGCCTTACCGGCAGAGACACGGCAATGCACCCGAAGGGAAGCGTGAAGCCCTACACCATGAGGGATGAAAGACTTCACCAGCACTTGTTGCTGCTGAATCGTGGATGGCGTTGTACTTTATACCGGAAAAACTGTCCACGATACGACTTCAGCTGCAGCTATTCCTACGGGTTAGGGTGTGTTTGCAGACAGACGTTTGTCTGCCGCCCCTGCAGCTGTTTGCTGTCGCCTGCACGCTTCTGTTCGTTGTGTCTAATTCGCCTCACAAAGATACAGTCATCACCCCTCCTCATGCCTTATGGCCTCCCCACTCCTCTCGGTTTCCGTCCGCCCGCCTCCTTGTGAAGTTCTCTTGCTTGCGTCGTGCTGTCTTTGCTCCCTTCTGTGCTGCATACGCTGAAATACGCCGGATCGCTTCGATCCAACAGTGGGAACTGCCCTGAATCTACACAAGCAGCAGCCGCTGCGGATCGTCAGTTGATGCAACTGCTGGTCGTTACCCTCCCTTTACTTGCTGTTTGTTATTGCCGCTGCACATGATGCTGCTCGCTTCACAGCAGCATCTGCATCATGGGCAGCAGCTGCTGCTGCTGGTCTTTGTTATACCTAGCAGCCACTACGCAGCCACAGGGCCCTTATTAGAGGTAGATTGCAAGACTGTACAACAGTCACTGCAGGCAAAAGCTCAAACTTAGGGTCGACCCTTCTCTGTGCATGGGGAGGGGTCCCTGCTCCCCAAAGCCAGGGGGCCCCAGGGGCCCTCACTAGAACCCAGGAAAGCCGCGAAGAAGGGTTGTTTGCAGTTATTTCTTATTCAGAGTTTCACAAAGTAAGCTGCAGCTAGAGGCCTTATCGGAGATACAACCACGAGCAGAGCCGACAGACACGTGTACCACACTGCGTAGCGGCGTAAGCTAAGCCGGAAGCATTGCGGATTGAAGGGGTCGTTATTCTTTTACACCCAAAAGTTGCGCGCTGACGAAAATATCTTTTCCCTTATCAAAGGGACAGCAACGCGCAGAACCGAGAGATGCTTGTACCTCGTTGCCACGCAGTGTAAGCTACGCCAGAAGGGCTGCTTGTTGAAGAGGGCGCCATTCCTTTTTGCCAAAAAGTTGCCTGCTGGGGTAATCTTTCCTTCCCGGCTTCAAAAAACGCTCACCTGAGGCACCACAGGGCCACGGTAAAGCGTTGGCCTTCGAGGGGCGCCCAAAAGGTCCCACCGGGATTCGAACCCGGGTTAGTGGATTCAAAGTCCACGGTGCTAACCACTACACTATGGAACCGACGACTGGGAACGGCAGCCCTCTCCAACAATTCGGGTTGACGGTGCAGATTAGTTCGAGTTTGAAAGAGTGCGTAGGGACATTTAGGGATTGGTGCACCAGATGATAGAGGGGAGAATGAGCTGAAGTAGCGGTACGTGGGGAACACGAAATAGCTGGACAGCCTGAGCAGCAGATGTGCCATCAAACTCACGAATCGCATGAAGTCCGTAAAATTGCGCAGCCGTAGTGTGCTGCCTGGTGTGCATCAGTGCGAGCGCACCTACAGTTCACCCTGTTGTATGTGAGTCAGCACACGGAGAAGCATACATGAAGACACGCAGGGAAGGACAACATGTGGCTTGACAGAAAGCCAAGACTTGCGCCACTAGACAAAATGACTGAGATAAATGTCAGTTACCAAGAAACACTATTCTGATTGATTTGACAATTAGCCTGCTGCGTAGGGCAACCAGGCACATGAGCTCGGAAAGGGGCGTTGGAGTTCTACGCAAAGCCACAAGAATCATTGTCCCCGATATATTAATACGTATCCAACAAGTGCGCAAGCGAATTCCTGTGTGTAACGAAACGTAGTATTCCTCAGACCAAGCAGGCGCTGTCTTATGCGGCACTAGTAACCTCAATTGCTGTGCCCACATGCAACCGTAAAAAAAATAAAGACGTTATTGCTCGCGGAAAAAAAGAGGCAGGGAAATAAAGAGAGATACAGAAAGCCAAGAAAAGAGGCAGTTAAGAAGCCGAATGCCTCTCTATAGCCCCATGGCTTCTACGCATATATGTTTGCTTTCATGCAGTGTTCTTTCGTCACTGCGTTAGCACCAGTCTCCTGTATATGTGCGTGTTTTCTTCTTCCTTCCCCTCTCTCCCTCTCTGCTGCTTAGTCACTGCCCTTCGATATGCTCAAGAGACCAACGAGGTGGGTTGGAGTTCGTTGCCATCTCAACATCGCGCCGCGATACCACCACGCGTACGGCCCTCGAGAGCACCTCAAGAGTTATGGAGCCTTGGTGCCGGTACACCTCGCCGTCCAGCCCAAAGATACCTGACACAACGAGAGGACAACCCATAAGAAGCATAGCGCCTAAATCGGACAAATGGAAGAATGAAGACCTGGCAACATCGCACCGAAGCACCAAGGTGAAGATGAAGCATTTCTCTGTGTGTGTCTCTCCTTCTCTGGATAAGCACGTGCGCCCAGTGCCCTTTTCTTATCCCGGAGAAAGACGACCCGTGTGTACATGATACTGGATAGTTTCTGTTCCCTGAGACCTGTTTGATGTGCGTATATCTATATTCCTGATTTAGTTGCTTCCTTCTTGGCCACCGTCCCCCGCTACATGCTTCCTCTCTTTGTACCGTGCCCTATGCCTCACCTCCGGCCCCCCTTTTGCTGCCTTCTCTCTAACCCTCCCTGCCTTACCTGGGTCTGGCAGTTCGAATCGGACGCGCGTGACGGGCAGTCTCTCAGTGCCCTTGCAATGCGGCCCCAATCTCGGCAGATCTTTGCTGTAAGACATCAAGCGGGGTGGGGAGATGCCTGGAAAACATCCACCCGCACTCACAACCACATAAGCACGTACACATGTACGCATGTACACACACACACACACACACAGATGTAGACCCAGGGGTAGAGAGATATGCGGCGAAGAGGAGGCTAAAAGGAAGGCGAGAGACGCAAGTTTAAAATCGAGGAAGTCAATAGCCTTATGGCATGCTGGCACTCATGCAGGGTTGGGGAGTTCACCGGCTTTGATGAGAAGCAGCCAGGCGAAGTCTGAGTTGAGCTGCGCCCAGGGCGTTGCGCAAACATCGTCTGTCCAGTGTTGCACCAAGTCTAAGGAGATAGACAGGTATGCACCTGAGGAGGCAGTGCCACAGCAAGTAATCTAGCGGTCAGTATTCTCGCGGAAGGACAATGCAGAGGAAGACAGGCAGAGTGGCACTTCCTGAGAGCATTGGCTAGAAGGCGCAAGTCAAGAACCTAGAGTACTTCGTTTATCCCGAAACCTTGACCAGCAAGCGAGCCTAATCTTAAGATCTTTACGGACCTTTCCTGTAAATCGTTTTTCCATTTGGAAGCGTCGCTTCAAGCGACACAGACTGAGTTTTCATGCAGATGAACTGGTAAAGCGGGGAGAGCAAGTAGCGGTAGTGCCCTGTCCACCGGAGGTCCTCGCTGTGGACCATGCAGGTTCCCAGATAGCCTGAGCCTCATACACACGAATCCAAGGGCAGAGGTGAGACGCGTCGAGAAAGGAGGAAAGGGCCCAGAGATGGGGATCAGATGAAAGTGCCAAAATGTGGGTGGCAGAGAAAGGAATGGCTTGAAGGAGCGGTATGTAGCAATGGGCAGCTTTTACTGCTAACCGAATTCCAAGCTGTTGACGCAGTAGTTGATGTGGTCGCCGGCGATGACCTTCATGATGCTCACGTATGCAGACTGCCCCTCAGATAT